GGCCTTCCGGCGTCTAGGCTCGACCCAGGCCCCTTCCGAAGGAAGGGGCGGGTCGAGCGGTAACGTCAGGGGTTGTGGAGGGTCCCGTGGGCCTATAGGGGTCTTTTCCTCAAGTCCGGGGGTCCCCCGTGACCCTAGGGTGGCCTGAGGAATGATCCCCGAGGGGTTGTGCCACCCCGCGGCACTGTAGGCCAATGGGGAGCGGTTGGCGGGGTTTGGCTAGTAAGGGGTGGCCATAGGACATGCCCCGGCTTGCATTTAGGCCACTGGGGCCTGAAATTCACACCAGGGATTTTGGGGGCCCTTCTCATATGCTGTAACAGTAAATTAAATAATTAGACCTTCTAAACGGGAGACAATTTTGAAACCATGTTTAAAAACAACAATAAACCGCTTCTCTTCGGTTCTGACAGACTGCAGAGGTTGCAGGAACACCCCTAGGCCACATCTTCCGGAAGGGTTGGGTTGTGTGGGGGTGACGTAAGTGCTGTTTGAGGCCAACGTGGCCCTATAGGGGTTTCCTAGAGTTGGGTATTCCCCCGTGACTCTAGGGAGGCCTGAGCATTGGTTCCCGAAGGGAAGGGCCAGCCTGCGGCCCTGTAGGCCAATGGGGAGAGGTTGGTGGGGCATAGCTAGAAATGGGCGGGCTATCGGGCATGCCTCGACATGCCCTATAGCCCTCCCGGTTCTGAAAGGCCGCAGAGGTTGCTGGAACACCACAGTCATTGTTTTAGAGCGTACTGCGCGGTCTTGCCGAGCATTGCAGAGACCGGATCGTCTTGGAGGCCATGGAGGACAAGGAAAACCAGCACCCATGTACAGAGGCCATGGAGGACAAGGAAAACCAGCCACCGGGAACAAGCCAAAAGGCGCCGATGAAAGGCAAAAGGCGATTGCGACCCCAAGGTTATTACTATGGGGCGGTGGGCTTTTCCAAGCCCCTGTGCCCCTTAGAGCCCCCTAAAAGGCTCAGGGAAATGCTGCCTGAAGACCCAGAAAATCTAAGAAGAAAATGCAAATCTGCAGAAGACCTGTATGTATTTACTGCACAACCAAAGCAGAAACCAAAAAGCACAAGAAAGCCGGCCTGCACTCTGATGTGGGGTGATGATGATGCGAATGATGGGCTTGAGTATGACTTTGGATATGTGCCGAACAGAAATGACATGAAATCGGCAGAGGACGTGGATGGCGGTATGTTAGTGAAACCAGCCTTTGCGGAAGATGCCGATAGCTCTGAGGCGCTGACCATGGAAGAGGTTTCAGATGATGGTTTTGAGAGTTATGCAGAGGAACAAGACAGCCAGGTGAGAAATTTTTCTAAAAGTTATGGGGGGGCAATCTTTTAAAAGATTACTAAAATTTTGTTTCATTCTCACCCACAGGAGAATGCTCAGGATGATAATGATGAGGAACCGAACGGCAGGAGTGTACAGTCTGTAAATCTATCGTGTATTTCATGTGTTTCTACAAAGCCTGAGGTTTAGATAATTTGTTTTACAAAGCCATTATAAGATACTGTTTTTAATAAAGAGTATTTGTTGTACGATACCGTGTGCATATTTGTGTTGTCTGTTGAGATGGGCGCTCAGGAAAAAATATTACACAGTATCTATTATACACCCTCATCAGTGGGGAGCTTTGGTGGTCTGAACCCTCTCTTTAGGGAAGCCAAAAAGCAGATCAAAAAATTGAAGGTAAGGGATGTTTCTCAATGGCTTTCTGATCAGGATGCCTATACACTGCATAGACCTGCTAGAGTTCATTTTAAAAGAAATAAGACCATTGTCTCCAAAGTAGATGCCCAATGGCAAGCAGATTTGGTCGATATGCAACAATTTTCTCAGTATAACAAGGGTTACAAATATATCCTGGTATGCATTGACATCCTTTCTAAGTACAGCTGGGCAAAAGTCCTCAAAGACAAAACAGGTAAAGAAGTGGCCAAAGCTTTTGACTCCATTTTCGAACAAGACAATAGAAAACCTGACAAAATACAAACGGACCATGGCGGTGAATTTATAAATAGGCCTGTAAGCAACTTGTTCAAGAAAAACGGAATACATCATTTTGTCACCAATAATGAGGTCAAAGCGGGTGTAGTGGAAAGGTTTAACAGAACACTAAAAACAAAAATGTGGAAGTATTTTACTGCTAATAATACCTACAGGTATGTGGATGTATTACCACAATTCCTTAAAAGTTATAACTACAGCATTCATAGAACTATTAAATGTAGACCTGTAGATGTGAATCATCACAATGCTCTGGTTGTCTGGAAAAGGGTCTATGGTGGCCCTGCTGAAACAAAAAAAGAGATTCCAAGACTCAGAAAAGGAGACCATGTGAGGGTATCTAAAATGAAGGGTGTTTTTGATAAGGGATATGAACAGAATTTTACCACTGAAATATTTATAGTGGATCGGATCATCAAAGGAGCAGGGAGACCTGTATACCAATTAACAGATTATGACGGAGAGAGCATAGTCGGGACTTTCTATCCTGAAGAACTACAGAAGATCAATGCCCGGGAGGACAGAGTGTACAAAATTGAAAAGATTTTGGACACAAAAGGCAGGGGCAGAAGAAGGCTTCACTTAGTGAAATGGTTCGGTTGGCCTAGCAAGTTCAACAGCTGGGTGTCTGCCTCTGAAGTTTCTGAGGTCATATAGAGAAGCAAAATGGGCGATCATGGCTTTTACATCACACTTCCCAGCAACGCCTGTAAGAAAGTCTTTCCTCAAAATACAAGTGCCAGCTTTACAACAATGTTACCCAGGCCTTTAGATTTGAATGGAGTTTGGGAAGTCGGTCTGGCAGAGATACAGTATCCTCGAAGCTGGTACACAATACTTAAAAATGCTCCATTTTCCATTTCTGAGGGTACGAATAAATGGGATTTTCAGTTACACAGGGGCTATTACAAAGACATTCCTGATCTTCTGAATAACATGAATGATACTATAAAACAAGCTATAGATCTGCAAGAGGCATGGCTGACCTATGACCCAGTCATGGGAAAAGTTAGATTCACAGGTCCTGAAAGTTACTTTTTTTCAGCTG